AATGTTTATCCACAGAATTGTAAGATAACTATGATCTTGATTTTAAGCAAAAAAAAATGTTTTTTCATTTATGCCTGAATTGTGCAGGGTTTCTTGATGAAACATTGGAAGCTCAGTCATGGGATAAGTGCACATTGCCCAGCATTCTCGGACACACGTGTTGACGATACGTTACCTAGCGAGTGCTTGTAAGTTACTGAGAAATGCAGGGTTTTTTTTTTCTTCTTCCATTCGCAGTGTGGTATCAAACATTCCATTAAAACAACACTCTTCCAGCAGTTTCTTGCATCAAGTATCTCGGACTCACGGGGCATGCATGAAATGTTCCTGAATGAAAGTGAAAGTGCCAAACTGCGATTACAGTCCACAAAATAAAGATTTGCCAAATAATTCGATTACTGATGTTCATGTAAACAAAGTCACTGTCTTTTTCCCGTGTCTGTGTGTTTGTTTTGACTCTGAAAATCAGCGCATGCCCAAACAGAAACTCCCATTTTTGTGCAAAACCTTCCCTCTTTCTCTTCCCCGACACTTCTATCGAAACAGAGCTGGACACAGCCACTTTCCTGACTTTTTCCAAACTAGAGGTGTTTGAAAACACCCTACTAAGACAGAATGGGGGGAGGGGGGGATTCCCTTAAACTAACACCACCAGTAGGTCATCTTAAAGGGTCATGAAACTCCCCGTTTCAGCAGGGTGCTTTTACACCTCTAGTTTGGAAGAAGTCAGGAAAGTGGGTGTGTCTAGCTCTGTTTAGGGATGGAAAAGGGGAAGGATTTGAATAAAATGGAAGTTTCCATTTGGGCACGCGCTGTTTTTTACAGAGGAAAAACAAACACAGACACAGGGGAGAAAGACAGTGTGTTTAATGATGGTGGAATGTTTGATACCGCACATCATTCATTTATTCATTCATTCATTCATTTTCTTTTCGGCTTAGTCCCTTTATTAATCCAGGGTCGCCACAGCGGAAATAACCACCAACTTATCCAGCACGTTTATACGCAGCGGATGCCCTTCCAGCCGCAACCCATCTCTGGGAAACATCCACATCCACACACACACACACACACACACACACACTCATACATTACGGACAATTTAGCCTACCCAATTCACCTGTACCACATGTCTTTAGACTGTGGGGGAAACCGGAGCACCCGAAGGAAACCCACCCGAACGCAGGGAGAACACTCCACATAGAAACGCCAACTGAGCCGAGGCTCAAACCAGCGATCTTCTTGTTGTGAGGCGACAGCACTACCTACTGCGTCGCCACTGCATGTTGTATAAGAGAAAAAAACCTCAGCATTTCTGGGTAACTCAGATGCACTCGGTAGGTCAGAAAGCCGTGTGTTTGTAGACAATCCTGTCACAAAGTGCGGTGAAAATTAAACACGACGGTCGGCAATAGTTTGCTTGCAGTGTAAACTAAGTAACTTGGAAACCATTTTGACTAAGGTCTGTCATTAAACACTGAAATAATACTGCTGACAATACAAACTATAACTTTGCCATCTGAATGAACAAAGAAAGGGCGCTGATCGCACACACCTACCAAATTTGTAGACAGGACAATCAACACATACTGGAGCTGCGTCTTTTTTTTTAAAGGAGACGAGCAGCGATTCCAGATTTCACCATTTCCAGATGAGAAAAGCTCTCGAGTAAAAAAATGTTCGTACAAACGTATTTCTGCCGCACATCGCATGCACTGAAATCCACACGTGAGTCCAGCAGCACTCCCATAGAGCAAAAATGAAAACAAAACATTACAATGTGCATTACAGCACATTATAAAAGCAACACTGACGACCCATATCTCCAAACAATTCTTATTCTTTTCCCACTTCTTTTGGCAGCACAACATGGTGTCTCTCTGCCGTTGGAACAATGTTTCAGTTACAGTCTTCGAAGCTAGCATGCATATTAATTAAGCTGCAGTGCATATATAATAAAGCGTGCTGATTGGTTTGAACCAAGCCATACTCATGAATCAATGCAACATACTTAGAGACGTAATACGGTACTCCCAGGTACAGACGTCCAGTCTGCATGCTGGAATACATGCCAAGATCTCATGGTCGTGACGCAGTTTCAAAAATTTATTTCAAACCGGAAGTACGAATTTGCTCGAAATAACGCAAAAACAACCAATTTTCACTTTTTAGTGAAATATGTGTCCTAATAGTGTTTTTAGCAGTGTGACTGTCAGAAGCTCAAAAAATGTGTTTTAGTGTTTCGGGACCTTATAAAGAATGAGTTGGTTCAACAATATTTTCAAAATGCTTGTGACGCTGAATCAAATCAGTTGTGATTGAATGTTTTGTAAAACCATAAAATATTTTACCTAATTACAGTGGTCCCTCATTATAACGTGGTTCACTTTTCGCGGCCTTGCAGTTTTGTAGATTTTTTTTGGCCAATTTGACTTCTACAGCGCATAGTGTTCCGCGTCCTGATTAGCACATAGTCACTCTGAAGTGCTGTACTGTATGCTTGCAAGTTTTCTCCCCACAATGTCGATTAAACATTCTGTACTGTCAAAAGCACCGGCAGTTGCACCCAAAAGACAAAGGAAGACGCTAACCATCCCACAAAAAGTTGAATTTCTTGATGTGCTAAAGGAAGTTACACAGCTGTAGGACGCCATTACGGAATAAATATTTGATCTTTTGTTTCATTCTATAATACTGGACTTATTTTTCTATGAAGGTTTGAAGTTTGAGAGTGTTTAAACAAGAGAGAAAAGAATGTTAATGTCTGTCTGAAAAAAGCCTGTAAAAATGTGTAGTGAGGGGTTTTAAAGCCTTAAAACATCTAGAATAATTCAAAAAATAAAGCAGACTACTTTACAGATTTCACCTATTGCGGGCTATTCTTAGAACATAACTCCACGAATAACGAGGGACCACTATAGTAAAAAAATACGTAAAATTAAGTGATTTTTGCAATGGTTTACTAAACAAAATGATATTTATCAACAAGCTTTTATTTGTTCCTTCCAGACCCTCTTGCATGTGGCATGTAAAATAATTTTGGGATAATTAATATTAACAAGGTTAGGTTAGGTACATGCTTTCAACCTTTGTTGCAAACATTCAAGTAACCCACGCTGCAGTTATTCAAGTTTGCTTTAGTCACAGCAGGCTGTCGTGCACTGTTAACTATGTATATAACTATGTATATAACTACATAACTATGTATATATTGGTTTATTTCGAGTCAGAGGGGGTATCAGGCAAGTAAAAAAGCAGTTTCTAAATAAGCACTTACTGGAGAAGCGAATTGACTCAAGTGATTCAGTTCGATTTGGTGAACTAGATCAATTGGTTCACTAAGAAGATCTAGTTAAAAAGAATGATTTGCTCAAGATCTCTATCAATAAGAAAAAAATAAAACCTATTATTGGACACAAATGTGTTAAATTATTAATTTTAAGTTTCTGAATTTAATGCTGTCACCATGCTGTTGTCATGTCCACGAATTATTTTTGTAGCGGCAATAACAGCGGGAACTGACAGGAGGAGAACCGGCTTGATCTGGCCAATGGCATCAAGACTCTGAAGTGCTGTATGGGTCAAACACCTGGCAGCGCAAAGAAAATAGATTTCTGAAAGGCATATGATAGGCCTATGTATTTAATAGAAAAGACGAAAAAGAAGAACATTACTGATGTAATTTTAGTTAGTTTCAGTTAATTTTGTATGTACACAAGACAGTTTAATTTAGTTCTAGTTTAAAAAAAAAAAAAAAACTCTCATTTTTATTTTTATTTCAGTTCAAGAGTTCACACTTAGATATGCTTGGCGTTAATAGCAGGTTTGGCATGTTGTCCCAGGAGAGAACCCTGAGCTTGGAGATAATTGGGCTCAATGATCCCACCTGGACAATAAGCATATAAGCGGGTTTGAGATCAAGCAGGTCTCAAGAGCTTCCCCTGGAAAAGGGAGGAAAAAGAGGAGATGGGGTGGAAGGGGGGATTCTTCTATAGACGAACATAGGCCAGTAGCGTGAAATCAATCTATTTATTATAAGCTTGGATCAATCTGATTGGATTAATGATTATGGATGAGAAGCCAGCTTTGACCAATCATATTACATGCTTCTATCGAAATTAGTTCATAAAACTTCCCTAAATTAAAATGTTTTCAAATTTAGTTTTTGTTTTCGTTCATTTTCATTAACTGTAATAACCTTGGCCACCATTAGTTGATTAGGATACATGTGAGCAGTATGACACATTTACAACCCCACCTACTGCAGTGCGGGGGTGTTGGAGTGTTCAGTACACAGTCACTAAGCTATTACGAACTTCTTTTTTGCCCTCAGAATAAGAACATTATTTGAAGTACTGTACATTTACAAATATTGGAAAACTGATTAGTAACTTCTCAGGATTTCCTGAGTTTACAACTATAGTGGCCAAAAAGTGATCAAAAGTGGACAAGCTTAAGATCAGACAAACAAAAACGCATCTTAATCCCAGGTCTACAAGTTGAGACAAATCTAAACAACAAAACAAAGGGAGAAGAAGGATGAGGCAAGCAGAGAATAAAGGGAACTGAGAAGTGGATAGAAAACGTGACCAAAAAGAGAGGGGACAGGAAGGGAAGTGTGTTATATAGCAGCAATAATGAAGCACATTTCTCTATTAAGTCCTAGTTCTTCTATCCATCTGCAGTGCACTAGACTGTCAAACTGAGGTTTAGTACACAGCCCAGCCTCCACCCATCTCTCTCCTTCTCCGCATTCCATTCCAGGCAGGGGAGAAAAAAAAAAGAAGAGAAAAAAAATGCAGCCTGTCGGAGAAATGGAGCAGAGTAGTCTGGGATTGGGAGGGGGAGTGAGAGAGCAGTTTTGAATATCAGCACACACACACTCAAAAAAAAACATCATGAGTTAGTAAAGCACAACATGACCCTCCTCATGAACATAATCCTCACCGCTGGCATGCATCATTACACACCGGCGGTTATGAAGCAGATCCGGTGCTCACCTGTGAAAGCATTGGTTGCCGGTAGGTCAGCCTCCTGCATACTGCTCCTGCCGCTCGGCCCGTATGAGTGTGTGTGTGGGCACCCACGTTATTGGCTCTGATTGCCTGAGGGCTCCTGGGGGCCGAACAGCCGCCGTGCTGCCATTCTCACCTCATAAGTCCATGGCTCCTGCTCCGGCCGCTGCCCTCTACCTCCTCCAAAGGGGAAATCAACTCAGAAGAAGGGGACTAAAAAGTCTTCAGTGACAGACCAGGGCTCTATTCGGCAGGATTCAGGGTGGGGTTGCCAGGCAACCAGCACACCGATTACCCTCCCAGCCAGAGCCAGCCAGCCATAGCTGTGTGTGTGTGTGCGAGGGAAAGATCCAGACAGGTACTTGATTCAGAGCAGGTGTCTGATAGCCGATTCAGGAAGGGAACGTGTAGTTGCTGCCGCTCGTCCTGGCTGGATAAACTCTTCTCAGCGTAGCAGCATGCTAATCAGCGCGCCCCACCTCATCCTTTAGACCGCAAGCTCACTGAGAGAGACAGAGAGAGAAAATCAGTCAAGGGGATGAAATACACACACAAAACTAAAATTCACTTGCAGAAGGTTACTGGAGTTCACCACTGCTATTTTACCAGTGAAAATGTTCTTTATACAATGGACAAAAACTATGGTTATACAGTTGAACTAAACAGAAAACAAGTCCATGTTACAAACAAGGTTATTATAGTTTGGTCTTTTTAAATTGGGCTTTATTTCGGTGCTTCAGTATGTCTATATTTGTTATTAGTTTCAGAATACTTATTTTCATTAATGGTTTTGATTGTTTTTGTTTACTTAATTTAATGAACACATTTCTATTAAGTTTGAGTTTGAGTAAATCTAGTTTAGCAGTAAACATGTCATGTCTAGGATTTATCAATGCAAAGTTTAGTGTTTGTACAGCTTACATTAAATGCTGATTTATACTTCTGTGGCTGACGCACAACTCTTAAAAAAATGTAACTACAGTCACAACAATGCTTAGTACAAGCTCTGTGATTGGTCGGCTTGGTAGCTATGACCAGTGTGGGCAGGACCGACAGCCATGCGAAGCCAATGGAGAGAGTGTTTACAAGTGACGAGTGTTGACAAGTGTCGAGTCCCGTTAAGTAGCTCTAGATGGAAACTTGTTTTGTGTTTATCTTATGATTAAAGTTGTTGCACACCCATCGGCTCTCACGTCTGAATGAGCGAGTTTTAGCTAATTGTACATTAAGTTAGCGTTAAAAAAAGCAACTGCAAAGAAACTCGACACAGAGGAACATAAAAACCTACAGACAGCTAATGTTTTGGGAAGTGTTATTGTATAACAACACAAACAGCATGCAGAAGTAAAAATGCACGACTAGGCGCAAGGCGTGCGCCATGAGTCACAACCAGCAGTCGACGCAGAATTATAATTCAGCTTTTAATCCTAGTTATAAAAGTAAAATAATAGTTTAAAGACAGTGAAAAAAAACGCACAAAAGCAACTTAAATTAATTTATTTTAAAATTAATTATAAAATTAATTAATCATTAAATTACATTTTTAAAATTTGGACGAATCAATACAAACTTCTTTACATTAATTTATGTAGTTAAACATGCTTGGTTTACATTTTTGGCCAATTTAAGAAAATATTGTTGCTGTAAAGGCATCATCTTCTCTAAACAGCAGCAGACTGTCAAATTTTCAGCCACAGAGTTATTTGCCATTTAATTCTAAATTATTATTCTAATAATAATTTAATTAGTTTTTTTTATTTTAATTTTTAATTTTTATTATTTTTTTAGTGTTGTAAGGCATGGAATGATAACTGTTTCAAGGTATACCGCAGTTTAGAAAAGTCAAGGTTTTAAAACTGCCAAACTTTTAAAAATGTAATAAATAAATAAAAAACATAAATAAATAAAAAAATAAATAAAAATGTAATACCATTTCTAAGGTATGTGTGAGATATTTTATTACATTTTTTTAGACAACTGTATCTTCAGCAGAAAAAAAAAAATTCAAAGATGCCGTTTTAAATTGTAAAGAAATGTGTTTGAAACTAGCAGAAGTCAATGATTAATTTGAATTATGTAGCCTGACATGTTTACTGTTCCAAAATATTATAAAACTTTCAAAAATTTAATATATTATGGGAAATGGGAAAAAAGCTTTTGTTTTTAACCACAGATATTTAAAACGGATATATTTTAGAGCAGTAATCTCAATTCTGTAATACAGTGAAAGCGTGATATTTTTATCCAAAGTTATTATACCGTCAGAGTCTTATACCGGCCCATGGCTATTGTAAGTTTCAGTTAGTTTCATTTTTATTTCTGTTAAAAAAAAGTTTTATGAATTGAATTTTAGTCTTCTAAAATTCTGTTTACTAAAATAACTTTGGCTACAATAGAAGCTACATTGTTGGAATCACTTTCAGAATTTTTTTTGCAGTTGATTGAAAGAAAAAAAAAAAGTCATGCAAAACAGCTTTTAGCACCAAGTAGGCATGGCCTGGTATAAGATTCTGATGGTATGATAACCTTGGATAAACAGTTTCACAATATTGTGATTACTGCTCTAAAATATATTCATTTTAAATGTCTGGGTGAAAAACAGTGCAGTAAACAAGTCAGGCTGAATACTTCAAATGAATCATTGACTTCTGCTGTCTTCATTATAGTTTCAAAACACAAATTTCTTTTCAATTTAAAACGGCAACTTTGGATTTATTTTTTATTGAAGATAAGGCATGGGGTGATAACCGTTTTCAAGGTATACTGGGGTTTGGAAAAATCAAGGTTTTAAAACGTCAAAATTTTCTGCATTACCATTCCTAAGGTATGTGTAGTATTTTTTATTTACTTTTTTTTTTGTTTTTTTAGGACAACAGTATCTCCAGCAGAAAAGATATCCAAAGATGCCCTTTTAAATTGTATAGAAATCAGTGTTTTTGAAAGAAATGAAGACAGCGAATGTTAAGTCTAACACGTTTACTTTTCCAAAATATTTCAAATGTTTCTCAAAATAAAAGATATTGTGTTGAAAAAGTTTCAGTTTTTTACCCAGACATTTAAAAAGAATATATATTAGTGCAGTAATCACAAAACCGCGAAACACTGAAACCGAGATATTTTTATCCAAGGTTATCATACTGTCAGAATCTTATACCAGCCCATGCCTATACTGTTGACAAAAACAAAAAATAAAATAAATAAAAAACCATGAATAAAAAAAATCTTACATATACCATAGGAATGGTATAGCAGAAAATGTTGGCAGTTTTAAAACTTTGCCAAACCACGATATACCTTGAAAACAGTTATCATCCCATGCCTAGGCCCAAGCGATAATAAATGTTTACAAAGTGCTGTAATAGTTTCTAAAATCACAATCAAAATTTATTTACATCCATGCCTAATACCCGACAGCCAGAAAGTGACATTTTTTATAAACTATTAAAATATTGGTGTCTGTGATGCAGCAAGTCCAGAGACCCTCGTGTACACCATGATTTCATATAAAATTCACTTTAATGTGAGATATGACTAAAAAGTTGTAAACAAATATTGTCTTAACTGAAATGAGTAGCAGCTTGGACCCGGAAACAGTAATCCATATATCACAACTTAACAAGAGGAAAGCTCACACCCTATGTGTTCCAAACCTGTTAAGAGTTTCTTATTTACAATAGATCTTAATGGCTATGATTACTGGATTCCAACATTTTTTAAAAATGTGGTGTTTAAAAGTACAAAAAAAAAATAGACTTAAGCATCCATTTGGTTGTTGACGCGTAAAAAGATATGAGAGACAGTTTAAACGTGGGCTCCGTCATTACCAACAGGCTAGCGCAGAAACTCCATTGAAAATAGGTCAAATGGGGTACAATTAATTTCTCTATTTTAAAGACATGGCGTAAAAAATATATATAATTTAATGCAGTGCTTTTTGTTTGGTCTGATTATCATTTTATATCTCAACCAGGCAGTGAAGATGTTTTTTTCTAAAGAAATCAGATTTTAAACGTGACGATTTTAAATGGGATGACAATTCACCATAAGCCCTGGGGCTGGCTGACTGAAATTAAAAGTCTGTGTGCATATACATCATTATGAAACAAATTCAATTCAGAAGACAGAAGTACTGCATGAAATCTTTTTAGGAACAGACAACAAATCTATGCATTTCTTGGCATCATCAAGTTAAGTAAATGTAGTTAATTTTTAGATTTTTTTCTATTTTATTTTATTTGCACAGGTTTTCTAACTGGGTTGAGTGTTTTTGCCATTCTAGTTATTTAAATCTGTGGTCTAAAAAGTTGTCACTTATTTAAAATTTCTTACATCAATTTTAAATGTATTTATTTAATCTGAATAAGAATTATTTGACAAAGCATTTTAAAATTGCTTTTAAGAATTTATCAAGCACTTTTACTGTAAAAGAGAAAACGTGTCAGCAAAACAGTAATGCTTTAAAATACTATTTTTTAAATGGCATTTTTCAACATGGTCGGCTCACTTCAGTTTAAACTAATGCGTGCCGTGTACTTAAAAAAAGAAAAGAAAAGAAAATATGATTTCAACAGCACTGTTTATGGTAATCAAACAAATACATTTCCATTTCAAAGTACCAACTGATATTATCCATTATGAACCATTGTTGTGCAGTGTGTGTCTGTGTGTGGTTATAAAAACAGTTTACAGTTGTATCATCAGCTAAGACCCTGATCTGCCAGACAACGACTGAGACAGACAAAGAGACAGACAGACAGAAACTCAACATGGAGGTTTCATTAAAGAAAAATTAGAAACAGTAGGCGGTCAACACATCAACATTTTATGATCTTACAGCAGCTCTTTACCAGCAACAAAACATCAAGTTCCTGTGAAGAGATGCACATTAGTGTCTACAATCCCCAGCAGGAGCGCCGGCCGTTAATGACTGTTACATAACACTTTACTGGACACAGTTATCACAAGCCACAGCTAATGTTTCTGCGGCTTAATATCATTGATTTAACTTTTCAAAAAAACTCAGTTTTCATTAGGAGAAGACTGAAGGACGAGGCAGAATGTGTCCTCAGACAACCTCTGTAGCTCTCCCACATCCCAGCGGACGGCGAGCTGAGCCCAGACTGCAGACTACATATCGCCTGTGTTATTTAGAAACCCGGCAAACCCTCACCTCGTCTGACCCCTGCCGCAAGCCACAAAGCAAGAGCACGGATCCATCACACAATAAATAATATTCTACACACGTGAAGCAAGAGAACGCCGGCCAAATCAAACAAAAGACAAAGCCACACACACAGCCTGACGAGGTCATGCCAGGACACCAATACAGGCATCACAGTTCACACACGCAAACAGCTGCCAGATGTTTAGATGCACTTTTCTTCGTTGTTATCTCTTTGTTCTCCAGTGGGTCTCTTTCCTGAGTGCTTCTTCACTCAGAGTCTGGACTTAACAAGCCCTGAAAAACCACACATCTAAAGGTTAGATCACAATATCATAGCAT